AAGAGTGTGTTGTCCCTTATGAGCATGTTTCCTTGCGATGACACTACAGCAAACCAGATGTTTTGCTTAAATGTTCTGTTAGCTAAGTCCTAGCTCTCCTTTATAAACCACAAAATATTACTCAGGATGCGTCTACATTAAGAAGTTGTATAAGTAGTTATTCTAGCCCAGGGAACATTGCAACCCCCTTTTCTCCTCACTGTGGATAGAGTTATACAACTGTAGGACTTACTCCTATATGGGAAAGGTAATGATCTATTCTACAAGTATAAGCCATATTTACTCAGGTATAACTGTAGTAACACTGGGGCCTTAATGGTATGACTCTCTCTGTAAAAAATCACACCTGTGACCAAAAATGATTATCTGCAAAATTGTTATCATATTCCTGGTCTCAGTAGTTGGCTTGTAGGGGAAATTTAGTCTTCGCCCAAATTCTTTCCAGCTCTCAGACTGGAAGAAAATCATTGAATCATACAGAAGTCGGGCTGGAAGGGACCTCCAGACATCTAGTGCAACCCCCTGCCTAAGCCAGAAAGGGGAAAAGCAACTCTTTGTATAGCCAGACCAGCTTGATGATAATGGCTATGCCAGTTCAGTACAAAAGTCTGATCAATGTCCTGGGACTGTTGTAAATGTGACATTGCTATGATGTCAGTAGCTGAATCATTTTACTAATCATTCATAAAGCAGCATTTATTACTTTATGATAAATCCAGTATAGGACAGACTGAGATAAATAGGTATTTGAAGCAAATAGTGCTGGAAGATGCTTGTATTGTGCAGGCAGGTTTGTTTTTTTAGATACTTGTTTTAAAATGGATGTTCCATAGCACTGTCATGTCTATTCTCCTAAATTACCTCCACTTGCTTTGAATCAGGTAGAAGTTCTAGGAGCACAGATTCCTAATATCTTATCAGGAATGTACTCTGATATGTATGTAATCAACATTTTTCCAAGTTGATTTCCTTGTCTTCTAGTGACTTATCTTCAAATAAGCTTTCAGACATGCTAGTTAGGATTTCACAATGTATGAAGTTCATTGGTATGGTTGAAGTTCCCATGGACCTTCCCAACAGAAGCTTCTTCAGTGACTTCAATTGAAGTGATGTGCTCACGGTCACTTTGGATGTTTATTCACATGCTCCGAGAGTGGGGGGGAGGGTACTTTAATTAGAACAGCTCCAAGAGCCGTTCTAATTAAAGTGCCTGGAGCGTCTTGTGTGTCAGCATCCCCACACTGAAAAATGGTGCTGGGGGTGCTTTAACTAAAGCTCATCAAACAAGCTTTAGTTAAAGTGCCCCCAATGCCATTTTTCAGTGCGAGGACACGGATGCATGAAATGCTTGAGTCCGCCGGAACGTGGTAATTACCATGCTCCAGCAGATTCAATTAATTGAGTCTGCTCCTCACTGCTCATGTATAGGCCCCCTTTGCTACTGGTATTAATGCCCAGTAAATTTAGGCAGAACCAGGACAGAGAAACCAAGAGACTGCCACCTCCATGCTGTAACGGCTAGATCGCAGTGCCACAGCACATTTTCATAAAGATGGCTCCCAACAGGCATTTCAGGTGCCAATCTCCAGTAATACAGATTGTGAATTACCTCTTCTAAGCAAGAATATTTTATTAATGTAATAGAGGATCATAGGTGGGTAATCGCACGTGCTCTTTAAAGTGGTTCCCAGGTGAACTCTACTGAAGACCCTGGGACGAGAAAAAGGTGCTACCAATGATCACTTATTTAAAGTCATGAAATACTGATGGAACAGAGGATTCCCCCTCCTTGTGCCCCTGACTCATAAGCACGTGTGAAGTTCATTAGAAAGTACTTGACAAACTTTTAGATGTTAGGACCCCAGAGTGGAATCCAAAGACTCTAGAGTTAGAAATCTTGTCTCTGCATAGGGTGCAGGGAGAGAGTTAGGACTTCAGGATGACAATTCCAAAAGGCTGCATGTTAAGGAGGAGCAGGAGGAGCAACTGTTGAAGCAGTCTTTTTTGGATCATGATTTTGGACTTGGGTGTCTCAAGTTTGCCCATGTCTTTCTTTGAATCTCACCCTTGCTATCTTTCTGAGTGCTCAGGGAAAGAAAGAGCAATGCATTCCTTAAACAGTGACTCCAGCTGATCTGCACACAATCCTATATGATATAAAATGCTGCTTCTCAGAGTCTGGTCTCCAAGAACTCCTTGATTCTCTGGAATAGTATAAAAGGTTTAACAAGTAATCACTCGTTCACAGGAGTAACATGTTCACAAGTACACGGTGAAGCTAGCTGAAACGTACATGTTCATACTCTACGGGACATTTCAGGCACCAGAAAGGGAATCCCTCTCAGAGGAAGGCCAGGTCACCTGGAACCCCTTCTGCAAGCCCTCCAAGCCTTTTCACATTGCCTTGAGGATAACCCCCACTTTCATGTCTTCAGCAGTAACTTGCAAAAACAAAGCACCTTGAAGCACTACACAGGCTCCAAAGGTATTTTTGATGTCATAGCATGACTGGTATAATTTATAGCAATAACTGCAGCACCAAGGTTTTTCTCCAGGGAGTGAAAATACTGTTGCTCAAATACTACTTTTGTTTGGTGATAAGGAAGTAACAGTCAATTATGATTAAAATAACTTGGAATAACCTTAGGAATTAACTTTTTATTGATTTCCTGTGATGACACAAAGAAGCCATGCCCCTTTCCAGATGGAGCCTATAAATGTTGATGCTCCCTTTTGCCAGGAGCTCTGGCAAGATGGGCACTGCCAAGATCCTCACTTGGATGTTACTCTTCTGCCCAGGAGTTCTACAGACTCTCTCAGGTAAATTGCTACATTTTTTTAAAAAAGTCATTTTAACAAAACTATAAAAACCAGTTTTGGTCCTGATTCCACAGAGAGAACTCACACCTTCAGTGATTTTGTGCAAAGATTAAATGGCATTTGGGGGTTCTGTTGAAAAATGTGAGTTAACTAAACTCATTAATTGTTACTATTGTTTAATAATCTGCTTGGCGAGAAATTTAACTTGCTCCCACCAGCCAGTATTTTGTCTGAGACGTTTGTTAGCAATTACAATCAAATCAAAACATTTGCAATAAGTTCAGTGTAGTAACAAAAGTGCTACTGAATGATTTCTTAACACATACAATGTCCATCTATAGTGTTAGTAAGCTTAAACTTTTATTACTTCAAGTATTATAAAAGCTGCCTATAACAGAATGAGTGTGGGGTTTAGAATATTAGGGCATGTGTAGATGAAACGGGGGCCCTAAAATGAAGCGGTGGGTTTTTAAAACCACCGCTTCAATTTAGGGCCCTTTAAACCCCAGGTCGTGCACACACCTGAACTTACCTGCCTCTCCGGCAGTGAGGAGGGGAGGGCAAGCTGCTGGCGGGCAGAGCTCGTATTTAGTTTGCTGCACCCCAAGTCATTTAAGGGACATTATGCTGCCGAATGTGCTACAGCAGCTGGAATTACTGCACAATAGACTGCCGATGCATGCAAACACCAACACCATTAAAGCGGTGCAAAAGCATTTAACCCACGTTAAAGTGTCGTGCACATGTGCCCCTTGTTTTATCTACACACAGCCATAGTCTGGGGAAAATAGATATATTAATTGGAATCTGTTTGGTATACTTTTTTTGCTGTCTTGCCTCTTATGTTTTCCATCTTCTCTCTTCCTTTTTGAGTGTGTCTAAGTCATTTTTGGATTTTGCCAGAAAATACAGCCCCTTAATGAAAATGTTCCCCATTGGTATAGTGCATGAACAGTTGTTCTTCTGTGGCATGAACAGTTGTTCTAGTCATCCTACAGTACAGCCAACAACAACTGACAATTCTCAGTTATGTCATTGACCTCTATTTCTTTGGAAGCTATGGTGTTTTCTGTATCCACTGTAAAATGCACCAGGATACTTACCCGCCAAGCCTTAAGTGGACCAAAGTCCTTTGGTAAAGTAGGAAGTGGTGATAGTGAATCATTCTGTTTGCAGGAGAGTATTTCAGATTCTGAATATCTTTAATAGCTGAATTGGACTAGCTTAAATTTTGAATAGCATCATTCAGAATTCAACCTGGCTCATATAAAATAGATGTACAAATAAATGAAAAGGGCTGGCAGGGTCCCCCCATCTTGGCAAATTTAACTATAAACTATTAAGTTCCCTCACTCACGCTTGTTGGAGAGTGCCCTCAACCAAAGTGCAGGCTAGAAGAGCATTTCTGGCTTTGGAGAGGGGTGCAGTGCTGTGGTACAGTTCTTTTGTCTGGGCATTCTCCATCCCATGACAAGCGCTGATGTTGATGATTAATTATGAAGTTCCTCCCAGAGATTATGTGTACAGCAACATGTAAAGTTTTAGGAAGCATGCTTTATGACAGGCAAAGTAGAAGTCTTAATTGTTGGGAGACTTTCAACATAAGCTTCAGTTTACAGTTTACAATTTGAGTAGGACTGCAGGAAATGTAAGCATGTCTGCAAGTCTGTGATGGGTCAGTAGGCTTATTTTAACTTTGCTTCCATAGCTCTGTTTTACCCCTCCCACACGAGGGAAAGATGTACCACATGCACTGCCTGGGTGATGGCTATAATGATGGGCTATTTAAAATATGAGATTGCCTCAAATTCCTTTTTGTCTGCCTTGGTTTTTATATATTGCAGGTAAATATAGTTTTTCATTCACTTTCATTCATTCTTTTTTTTCCCTTTTCCTTGGCCTGCAGCTTTCACTCTGCTGCGCCTTAACACGCACAGTGTCACCCATGTCACGAGTTGTGCTTGTCTGCAGCTTGAAGTACAGTTTCCCCCAAACGCCTACACCTATCTCCCTGAAACTTGGCAGACTTTCTGGCCTCAGTAGGGACTACAATCCCTCCAGTTTTAACACCCCTGTGGTATAACACACACAAGTGACATGAGTTTGGCTTTCATGAATTTGGGGTGCAGTTTCCCCCAAACCCCTGCATCTATCTCCATGAAACACAGTAGGCTTCATTCTCTTAGCAGAGGCTACCATCCCTGCAAGTTTCATCCAAATCAGACAAAGAACAACACAGTTATAGATATTTCATTGATTCCCCATTTTACCCTATGGCCGAATCTCTGAATCGGCTCCAAACCTTCGGAGCCGATTTGGCCAAATCGAAGCGGAAACCCTATTCGGAGCTCCAAATCGAATCGCTGGCATCCAAATTGGTGGATTCCGAACCTGAATTGAAAAGTTCCCTGTTCGCACACGCCTCATAAATCCTTCCTAGGAAAATATTCAGTTTGTAAAAGTTCTCACTGAAAGAAAGTTGCCTCTGTTGGGTTAGAAATATGGTGCCCCTGGACTCCCCCCATAGGTGCAGTTGTGAACAGGGCAAGAGACTGCAATAGTTATGGAAGAGTATGAAGAAGCCTGCTAAAGGTAAGCCCTCTACAGACAGAAAAGCATAGCTGAAACAGTCCAGCTTTCCTCCCTTTCGTTCCCTTGTTCTTAGAATATGAATCAAGGAGATAAGCTCATGGCTTTGGGCATTATCAGTGACAAGGAGAATCAGCATTTTAGGTCCCAGGATTTCAGTTTCAATCCCCCTTCTTTGAGTTTCGTTGTAGTAACACCCAGAATCTTCAGTGCAGGACAAGCTGCACTGTGCAGGATATGGATGTACTCCGATCTTTCGGGTTTAGACAGAGGGGCAGTGTTGGCAAGGAGTAATGTTGTGATGTGTGTACCCCTCACCAGCCCGTAGGTTTTCATGTCCTGCCCACCACAGGTAATTTCTGCAGATCTGTAGGTCTTTACATGGCCATTGGGCTTAAGATGCTGTTTTTTTCTAAGTGTTGTGTGTTCTTCAAGCACCCATGAAAAAGCAGTGACTTAAGAAGGTTGGCTCTACCATTAAAGGATCGGAATAGGAGTTTACATGTACCTGCTTTACTTTTCATAAATGGTGGCTAAATTTATTTATTTTTCTTCATTTTTATTTAGTCTTTCTTGTCTCTCCCCTCTGTGTTTAAAGTTCATCATCCAAATTTGGGCCCATCTAAGTTTCATACTTAAACAACCAAAAGAATTGCAGATTTAGTTCACAAGTTGTTGCTGTCAAGCTTTTCACTTCTTTGTTCTTATAGTGCCCAGAGGGATCAGGTGAGTGCAAGCTGCAGAGTGCTGTACAAACAAACATACTGAACACTTTTGGCCTTGGAGAGGCTAATGGTGCAGATATGGAATTCTTTTTTTTTGAGTATTTTCCTACATGGTGTAAGGAAAATATTGCAATGGTCAACCGTGACATTCTTGTTAGAGTCCGCTGACAGACAAAGAAACCCAAAGTGTTTCAATATGCATCCTCAGGAGGATTTCTCTGACTGTGAAATATGATTGAAGCCATGCTCCAGTAGAGACTCAGGCAAAAGCTTCAATTGACAGCGATTAGAAGTCTCATAGATTTTGGTGAGACTCCCCTCAGGAGATTATGCACACCCATGCATCTGCACAGGGTCAGGAAGCTTAAAATAGTCTTACTTAAATGCTGCAAAAGCTCCCCAAATCTAAGAAGCAACAATGATTGTAGGAAGCCCTTACGAAGATGTTAGAGACATTTGCAGTTAGTGTTCAGTATCTGGATTCTACTGCCTAACTTATTGCACACGGTGCATAAGCTTGGCTTAATCTTCATTGCTCTCTCATTCTGTCTCATTTTTTTCTCCTCTCTTAAGAGTATGATATTTTGCCCATTTGTACCTTTATGAGTTTCTGTATTACTTCAAACTGATTGAAATTTTTCCTCATTTCCACATTCTTCTCTCTGTATCAACAGGTGCTAACACAACCACAATTTCACCATGGTTCAATGCAACAGGTAATTCTTGTATGTAATATAATTACATTGTTGTTTCAGTGTTTGGATGAGATGGCCCATAATAGGATGAGTCAGCATGTCTGTAACATGGTCCCAGATGAGGAAGCATAACATCCTACTATGTTCAACATGGTATGCATGCCTACAGTACTAGCACTGTAGATACATTACTGGGTATAAAAATCTGGATATAGGAATCTGTCTTTTATAATGTTAGTCTGTAGACCTCATTTCCATGTTGTTTTCTATTGCATTGACAAGTGTCACCACTACATTACCACCACAGATTACCACAACAGGGAAGTCTCGTGTGCTTTAGTAATATTTACTATCATACATGTCCTAAAGAGAGAGATAGTTAGCTCTGTTATGTAACTGTATGTGATGGAGTATCCAAAAGAATCCTTGTCAGTTGCTACTTAAGGACAGGATGTAAACTCTAAAACTGCAAGGACTCAGGATTCAGTACACAACTGTGGTAATTCCATATACTTGGACGAGATGCCCTGTGTTGGCTGTTTCAGAAAGGGCCAGAGTGCTGTAAAGGGACAGGCTATAAGGCAAAGCCAATTTTGATTAAATCTCAAAACTTCATGGAAGGAGGCTGGGCTGTAGACTCACCTTAATTGGAGCTCATCAGGAAGTGGTGGATAAGCATTGAGCTCAAGTGGCTTAGAAAAACTTCCTCTTGCATTTGGGCAGGGGGCTGAGTTTAAGACAGACCTTCATTGCAGGCCGATGTATGCCGAGTATAGCCATTTTTTGCTTTCCCTTAATGAATTCACTTTTGATCACCACGGAACGTTCCTCTAAAATAAAACTGAACTTAGTATGAATGTTGCTCTCTTGTCTTTTATCAGGTCGTCATACTACAGGCACTTCTGACCCATGGGCACCTACCACAGGTAATTCTCAGTAGTTTTGCTTACATTAGTTATATTTATAATCTATAGTCTTCACTGATTGCTCACAAAAAGACTTTACTACAACTGCCAAGCCTTAATGTGTCAGGTTTGGGATATGGTTGTAGAAACAATGAGAATTAATAATTCTGGGGCCCGCGGTGTCTCACCAGGAAGGTATATCCAGTTGGATATCCTAGGGCACTTCAGATGTGTTTAAGAGAAAGTGATAATACCAGGGGTAAGAAGATGCCAACATGTAAGTGACTGTGAGGGCTTGTGATAAGATTAAATATTGCTTTCTGTGCTTTTGAAGGAATAACCATCCGACTGGTGAATGGAAGGAACAGATGCGAGGGCCGTGTAGAAATCAGTTACAATGGAGCCTGGGGGACGGTTTGTGATGATTCCTGGGATTTCAGCGATGCTGAGGTTGTGTGCAGGCAGCTTGGATGTGGCTCCGCCATTTCATCCCCGCAAAGTGCCTACTTTGGTCAAGGCTCTGGGTATATTCACCTGGATGATGTGCAGTGCAGAGGAAATGAGTGCTATCTCTGGCAATGCCCTCACCAGGGCTGGGGAAGCCATAACTGTGGACATAGTGAAGATGCTGGTGTCATCTGTTCAGGTAACCTCTGTTTTTTATTTTAGAATATTCCTATATTCCTATTTTTATTTTAGAATCTTTTCCTATGTTCTCCTTTATGAGTTAGCATTCTAGCTCCTGAGAGCACTTTTCATTCACTCCCAGTTAAGATTTATGCCAAAAATAGGCTTTGCCATGTTTGTGTAGCAGTATCGTTTTGTGTGCTGCTCTTGCTGAAGGAGAAGAGTTGTTCAGAGTAGGTGGAGATTTTCACTTTCCATGTGTTGTATCACAACAGGGAAGTGAGTGTGTAACTGATGGTGGAAACCTTGTCATTGAGATACACTTCCTCTCTGCCAATCAAGATCCGAACTTCTGCCTTCCCTGTCTTCACTTCAAGTTAAATTAGGGTGTCAGCACAGCTGACATTGATCTTAATTGTCTCACTTTTTTTTTTGTACACTACACCAGATTGATTTTCTGATTCCTTTTTCACCTTAATGACACTATCTCCATAATACAGTTGTTTCTCACTTGCATTTTGTTCTGTCTTTCTTCAATAGGTGCTTATGCAACCAGCACAACCACGAGGCCAACATGGGCTACGTCAAGAGGTAATTCCAATTTCTTCCTTCTCTTTTTGCAATCTAATTAGCTGTATCCTCCTGTGTTTCCACAGTAGTGTGGACCAACAAGCCATTCCAAGCACTGCAAATGTTAATGATACCTGAGTGCTAGGCCTGGGAAGTAGAAGGGGGCAAGTCAATGCTTTTGGAAACAGCAGAAGGGTATGTCCAGCTCCAATCATAGCAGTCTTTCAGTCTCAGAGCTGGATTATGTTATTGTAGAATTATGAAGAAATATATATGGTCTGTTGAGGAAGCTAGCTTTGCTCTGAGGCTGTGAGTCTACATCCAGAATCTGCTTTAGGCTGTTTTAATGGTTTCCAACTGTAGATAAACTTAGTTTTTCTTTAGTATCATAGTACTCCAGGGTCAGAAGGGACCTAAACAGTTCATCAGGTCTGGCCCTCTGTCCCGGGCACGAATATATATCTTGTCAGTGAAATTTTCTTGATTTCCGCATTGCTGATTCTTGCTTTAAGCGGTGATGAAGGCATGCATGCAAGCATAAATTGAGCATGTATTTCTGCACCAGATATTTCTCATGTTTTAGTTATGCATTCTAGCAGATATTTGGTAGTTTGTATTTCAGCA